CTTGTTCTATTTTCAAAGAAATAACTCTGATGTTTCTCATTGGCCAGCAATGAAAATGCAGAGTGGAATCCAAGCTCCCAAGCTGAGAAGATACTGCTATCTCAATTGGAAAACACCATTAGACAATAGTTTCTAACTGATGAAATATCAGGGCTGGGAATGTGGCTTAGTGGTACAGTGCTTTCCTAGCATGCATGAAGCCCTGGTTTCAGTTCCTCACTACTTCATAAACAGAAAAAGCCAGAAGTGGCGCTGTGGCTCACGAGTGCTGATCTTGGGCAAAAAAACTCAAGAACAATGCCCAAGTCCTGAGTTCAAGCCCCAAGACTGGGAAAAAAATGAATATTTTTAATGTAAAAGCTCATAGCATCAATTCAGAGGTCATCAGCTTCACATAGCTAAAGCTGTATTTTGTGTCTTCATCCAGTCATTGGTGGAAGAAATTATCTACTTCAACTCAGAAGGCCTTTCAGTCTTGTTGAAATGATGGAGAAATATTATGACTTAAAATGTGTTGATTGGCCACATAAGCAGAAAAACCTGGAAGTGGTACTGTGGCTCAAGTGGTAGCATACTACCCTTGAGCTGAAGAGCTCAGGGACAGCACCTAGGCCCAGAGCCAGAGTTCAGGCTCCATGACTGACAAAAAAAAATGTGGTTTGGTTTTTTTTTTTTTAACTAGGAAAAAAGACCACTATATTCATTCTACGTGAAGAATTAGCTGCATGGATTTTTGAATAGCACTAGCAATCTAGATGTATGTACTAGTATGAACCATGAACCCAATAACACTGTTATAGCCATAGCACTTTTGTAATTATAATTGCCATTGTTACATCCTGGCCTCCTTGGATGTAAGAAAGGGAATGAGATTAGAGTATGGTCTTTGTAAGAAGAATGTAGGTCACTTGGAGATGTCCCATTCTCAGTAACACACCAGGCTACAGTTAGAAATATTTAAGTATACATGATGTAGAACATCAGGGTTGCGAATAGGGTGTACTTTGAGGCTCTTTTCCCCTAAGTGACTCCATTTTATAAAACAACAGTTTTGCTCAATTTTGAGCACAAATGTTGAGATAGAATGAGTCTACTACATCTTCTTAGTACAGGTAAACACTCACCATCTCTCCAGCACAATGACCCATGAGGCAGACTGCTAAGTACCTTATGCAAATGAAGTAGTACCATCTATGAATTCACCAAACTCTATCAGAAACACACTGACACATTGGTATATTAAACCTCTCTCAAGGAAAACAGGGCCATGAACTCACCAAAACACACTACTCTGAGGAATGATGCAAAACCCCTCACCAAGTCGTATGAGAGAAGGGACATCTAACATGCGGATGAGGCACACGCTGCCCATCTTTAGTCCATCTGGTGCATGCATCATAGATCCTGGATGATGAATTCCTAACTCTGTCCCAAGCATTCAGCTCAGCTCTATCCCTCTGATTGGTATGATCTGCTCAAATTCACTGCTCCTTGGGTTCCCATAAGCACACACACACACACACACACACACACACACACACACACACACACACACACACACACACACAGAGTCTGCCTCTGGTTGGAGTGTTTCCATCCTTCCTCAATGTGATCCATATTGCATGCCACTTTTTCAGATCATTAAATTTCTGAACATTTTATATGAAAATCAATACTGATTAAAATTTTGCTGACAGGGAAAAAATATGTGCATCTACAAGAAATTGCCCACTGAAAGCCTTGTGTTTAGAAGTATGAGGTTTTTGTTGTGTCTGAATTCCTTTAGCAGTATCTCCTCCCATCCGCAGTCTGGAGCTGTGCAGTTATGTTGACCTTTCTCACAGGAAGTAGTCAGCCTGAGGGCTACTAACCTCACAAGAACTTCTGACTGGGGCCCAGGCTCAGGAGAGACCACAGAGGAGGAGGAAGTAGCTGCAGCTTCACCACAATGCAGTGGTGAGCTGAGCCTACAGATATGGTATGGTCTGATCTCTTTCCATAAGACAGAAGCTGTGCAGGGAATGCACTGGCTGGCAGAGGGGGAAAATTAATCAAAACTGGAATAGAAAAGAATAAGTGAGTTTCCTAAACATTCTCCCAACATTCAGGAAGTAACCACAGCAGAGCAGATCACACTGCAGTTGTCCTTAGCTTTCAGATTACAGTGGATTCGTGCCTAATGTTGGTATTCAAGACCATAAAGTAATTGGCCCCATGATTCTATTTTCAATTGTTTCTATTGTACCTGTTTAACTCTTGACTATAGGCAAGCTGAATTTTCCATATTTTTCTTAATATTCCATTTTAGCCTGAGTGTTATACTTTATAATAACTAATAGTCATACTTACAATTACCAGGGAAGGCAATATATGAGTATTTCTAAGTGTCACCTTGGTAATCTCCACATCAACTCTGTCAGATAGTGAGTACATGATCCCTATCTAATAAATAAGGCCTGGAAAACTGAACAATTGACAAAAGGAAAATCAGTCCCTGTTAGCCATTCTTCCTTGATGCCTCATCCATGCTAGGTTTTCTTACCTAGAAGATTTCTTCCTATTTGATAAATACCTTCCTTAGATCTACCTTTTCTATAGAGCTCTCCTAGGATCCTTTAAACTCTAGTAATCTATTCGTGTCACAGCTTCTTAAAACTAGGAGAGATATTACATGCTTCTCACAACAAAGCAACAAATCAATTCTGATCATTGATGGGTACAAAATTTCCTTTCTTCTGAACTTGTCAGTGACTCTTTGCGATGGGACAACTTTTATCTGATTTATCTTCCTGCTGATTCTTGCTCATTTCCCTAGTTATGATTCTGAACATGTATACAAAAGAAAATTGTTAGAATAATATGCTGGAGACATAGATTTGGCCTAGAAACAGAAACCCACAGCAATACTATCATATGAAACACTCTTTGCTGAGCCATTGGATTGTGTCCTACTTTGCAGTCACCTCAAGTTCTGAGTCTCTGACTGACATTGCTAATAGTTAAGGGAGCTGTGACCAATGACCAAGAGAATGTAGAAACACATCAATCTTTTTCCCCCAGTGCTGGGGATTGATTTCTTAGCCCTGATGATGCAAAGCATACCATGTATGCAAAGCATACATCATTAGCAAAATGAATGGGAGAGGCTCTAGTATAAAGAATTATGGCATCTGAAGAGGAATAGAAGACAAAGTGAATTCAAGAATTAGAAAATGAAGTGTCTTCGGAGTTTCTCAAGATTATTAAGGGCTTGTTATGAGGCACTGTGCCTGTATTCTACGTCCTTAAGTCAGGGATTTGAGGGTCCTTGTGTCTGAAGTCCTCAAGTGGGCTTTAGAGCTTTATGATCTCTGGCCATGCATGGAGTCTCTGAGCACTTAGATTTTCCTGATGCGTGGGTTTATAGCTTTTGCAGGATTCTCAAATGTGTCACTGATCCAAAACAACTTCCCAGACACTGACATAAAAACATAAGACAGGAGATCGGGTGTCCCAGAGGCAGACTTCCATGATATCATGTAAGGAAAAAAAATCAAATCTCAAAATCCTGCATATCTCATCACATCCATGCTCATGGATGGTTTAAACCAAAGGCTCCTAATAGAAATAAATGGCCAATGAACATGGATCAAAAGAACTTTAGCTATGTGGAGTCCTCAGTTTCCTGATTATTAAGCTGATGAAATAGTTCATCCCATGGTTATCATTTTACACACCGCAATGTTTTGCTGATAGTTTTTTTAAAGAAGCCACCTTCATGTCCATGTTCAACAAAGGCAAAATACCTTTTTTGGGGGGGGGAGGGTCAGGTCGTGGGGCCTGAACTCTGGGCCCGGGTGCTGTCCCTCAGCTCTTCAGCTCAAGGTTAGCGCTCTACCACTTGAGTCACAGCACGACTTCTGGCTTTTTTTCTTTTTGCTTATGTGGTGCTGAGGAATCGAACCCAGGGCCTCATGCATGCAAGGCAAGCGCTTTACCACTGAGCCACCTTCCCAGCCCCAAAATACCTTCTTATCTGGCAAAATAACTACATGACAAAGTAGAGATCTATAAGTGGCTCTAGTGTATGCGTCAGCCAAATCCAATGACTGGAGGTGGGGAAAGAGAATGCCCTAGACTTGTGGTCTCAAAGTACTTCTTATCTCACTCACCTAGTAAAAAATAAAACTCAACTCAATCCCCCTCTCCTATATTTATTTATAAAGTATATAGCTCAGACACTGACTAATTACTGAAGACAGTGAATGAGGCAGACCATTCTTATCTAGCATAGAGTGGTTAAAAAAACTAATAAAATAAATATGCAAATGATGTGGTAGTATAGCATGCTCCCAACTGCTATAGAGAAAAAGTACATTAAAGAGCATTCAGGTGAGCTGGAAGGGAGAGTTGCACTTTTCAGTAGCCCAGAGAAAGTGAATGAAGACCTAGAGATGAAGCAGTTAACTACTTCACTTCTTTTAGCCATTTGACATCAAGACTTACAGAGTCTACGGGTATAATATTCAATGGTAGACGTAGTTTCTTTTAGGTAACCCATATAAATAGGACTGTAATATCTTCTCTTTGGACCCTATGTGATCATCTTGGGAGACCACTAAGTTAGTCTACACTTGTATAAGCAAATGATTTAAATAAGATTCTTTGTCTTCAGTCTTGACATCACAGCTTACCTTGTGAATCAGGACATAATTACAAAGTTTGGATGGTTCTTTCAGTGAGAGATATGAAGCCCTGTAGTAAATTACCTCCCTGGTTCAAGCCTGATTTGGTTTGGTGAGCAAGATTTTTCCACCACATGTTTTATGAAGCTTTTTCACTTGGTAGTTTTTGTCTTGCTTGAAAACAGGTGTCCACAAAGACTATGGGTGCAAGAGCAGTAGCCGAGCAGCTGGTAGCAGCTCCTTACCGGAAGTGGTAACTTGATGGTTTTCCTTCCCTTGCAGCTGAGTTATATTAACATAGCCTGAGCATTTCCCTTTTTGATCAGAGGAGAGAAATTTGCTCAACGTGGTGGAGCTTCAGGAAGAAAAGAAAGATCTAATGACCATATTTTTAAAATACTTCTGTGTGACGCAAATGACAGCAGTACAATGAGCTTCCGAGGAAAGGAATTTTGGAAAAAGAGGCGGACAGTGAGGAGAGTGAATCCGGAAGAAATCCACAGGTTCAGTTCTGTAGGTATCTGAATATTGACATTTTGCTTTCCATCCTTTGGGACTTTCTTTTTTAAAAGGTTGGTTCTAAAGTGGTTTCCAAACTTAGGCAATTAGAAATAGGAGACAAAATACTGCACTTGGTTCAAAAATACCCTCTTTTATTTGCATCTTTATTTCAGGAATTGAGTTGTTTTCAAAACATGTATAAGCTTGTGAAAAATACTGCTAGAAGAGTTAAGCTGCTAGAACATCACTGTATTTCAGATTGATCTAAAATTATCTTAATATTACATCTTGTGATTGATGGAAGTTATTCCACAAATATTCCATAAGCACACAGTTACTTTAAGACCCTAGTTGATGACATTCCTGGATATGTTGCTGCTCTATTTTTATCCACTACCATTCATTTGCATCACAATTCTGAGAAAAAAATAATCCAGAGTATGAAAGAAAAAGCAAAATAAGTAATTGATGAACAGAGGCAAGGAAATTATACACATTGGTATGGTTTGGAAGTTAAAGGGACTTTTACTGCTTAAAATGTTTCTGCATTGTTTATGCAAGTGAAATGAGAGCTCTGGAAACGTGGACATACTACAAAATTCTAGATTTCTATCCAGAGCAATTACTCAGAGTTGAATAGTAAAGCCAATTGCTGAAGCTCTTCAGTGATCAGTCTATAATGGGAAAACCCACCTTAGATAATAAATGACTATAGCAACATTATGGGGTGTATCTCATTTTGGAAGACTAATTTGTTTGGAGTAGTCTAAACTTGGCTTTATTTCTTTAGGGTAGGCTTTCTTAACCTCTACAACATTGTCCTTTGGGGTCTAAAAATTCTTTTTGGTGCATTGTAGCATATTTAGCAACATCTCTGGGCTCTATTCACTAAGTGCTGTTACCATCCCTAAATATTAAAAAAGGTGTTCTGAGCACAGACAGCGATCATCTGATTGAGAACCACTTCCCATGGGGTTAAAAAAATTATTTGTTAATCACTGATAGTCTACAAACAGAAGTTGCTTTGTAAGAAGTATGTGTGTGTGTGTGTGTGTGTGTGTGTGTAGGTGTTTATGTACATGTATGTAAGGACTATTTATGAACTGTTATTTGTGAACATGAATAATCAAATAAATGAGTACCTTCTGAGCTCCCTTAATAGACCAACATCATGAAAAATATACACCATCACCCAATTAATAGGGAGTCTCTTTGTTATTACAAAGATTTGGTTGTAAGTTAGTAGGAACAGAATTTATTTGAGATTTGGCTTGTTGGGTTAGTATTGGGTTGTTGCTTGTTAAGTGTCTAGTTCAGTAGTACATATTTTCTGTGTGAACACACAACTAAACCCTCAAACTTGTTCCTAGGAGTTATAGCCTGGGATTTTTTTAAGTTCTTTGATATCAAGCAATACACTTCATTTTTTACATACTGGAAAGTATATCTATCAATTTCCTATATAATTTCCTACGTGTTTGTAATTTTATTTACCTCACAACATAAATATATCAGGTTACTATTTTCAGTAGTTCTCAAATGAAGAAGCAAGCTTAACAGATTAAGAATCTTGGGAAAAAGTACACAACTCATGAATTGAGTTTGAAATACCAGGCTTTCTTGACCTATCCAGCATCCTGGTTTATGGAGAGTTTGAACATGTACAGAAACATAGAAATTCCTGTCTTAAATTGGCTTTAAACAGTGCTGTAGAAATCGTAATTCTTTCAGCAAATTGGAAAGTATGAACGCATTAATTACTTTTTTAGAAGTTAACACCTGGGAGAAATTGGTTCTTTCATAAGGGAAGTAGGATTTGGGGTGGCAACCTGTGTTAAAGTTGTCAGCCTGGGTTTATTTATTTGATTATTTATTTTTTTTGCCAGTGCTAGGGCTCAAACTTAGGGCCTGGGTGCTGTCTCTGAGCCTCTTTGTGCTCAAGACCAGCATTCTACCATTTGAGCCACAGTGCCACCTCTGGCTTATCCCACAGCACCATTCTGGCATTTTCTGAGCAGTTTATTGGAGATTAAGAGTCTCATGGACCTTCCTGCCTGGGCTGTCTTCAAACTGCAGTCTCAGATCTCAGCCTCCTAAATAACGAGGATTACAGAAATGAAACACGAGTTCCCCACTGCTAACCTGGGTTTTTATAATCATTTCACAAACAGGCCATGCAGGGTCCTAGACCTGTTTTTGCTCCCCAGTGGCCAGAAACATGAGCCCAGTTTTATCTTCCTGACTGCTTCTTTAAAAGCTTTCATCTGTCATTTACCTTCAGTCAGTGTATAATTGTTTCACAAATCGGTTTGACTTGAGATTATGTCAACCTTTTAGACAAATCCAAAAATTCATTATTTCCCTGCTGTGTTTCTCTCAACGGAAGTTAAAAGAACTGAGGGGTTACGTTATGACTTTTTGTCTGTGGAATGAGACCACTCAACAGGAGAAGGATACATCTATCTTATGTACACCACACCTCCCGGGTGGCCAGAGGACAGTCCCCCAGGTCTCACCAGATAATGAAGTTAATCACTCTATGAATGATTGTAATTGAATTTGAATGCATTACTGCTGAAAACTGTGGAAAAGCAGTCAGTGAGGAGAGAGTGTTTTCCCACAGCATTCAGTGGCAATGCATTCAAATTTAATTAAGATCATTCATACAGTGATTAGCTTTCTTCCTTGGAAGGCACTGGGGACATTTCTGCTAGAATTGCCTGCGTTTGGTCTTCCTGAGATAGGCCTATCTCCTTAAACAGAGTGTCTCTTCATTGAGCAGAGGACTGTTCAATCCATCCTTCACCGTTATCCCAATATGTGGTTTCCATTTTGGGAAACAGAACCCAAGAAAGGGAAACAAGGAATCAGAGCATGACATTTGAGCCTGTTGTCTCTGGGTCATTCTGCCTGACCTTCACCTACAGTCTATGTGCCAGGAAGCAGGTTACTTAAATCTCTTGGTGTTTGAGTTTCCTCCTGGGTAGAATGTTCAAAACACCTATGCTGTTTTAAGATTACACGTTAGAATTAGATTTGATACAATGCATTCTGAGCATGGTTTGAATACTACAAAAAGGTTTTTAAAAGTCCTATTTTTAGAAGCATTATTCAAACAAAGTAAAATAGGTTCATTTCCAAGGGCACAATAAAGGGTACAGGGACCGTAATAATTAATGTCAGGTTAAAGAATAACTAAAAACTAAAGGTGATACTTTCATTGTGGAAGCTGTTTAGGTAACAGAATTTACTAGGTAGATACACTTTCAGGTTGTATTAAGCTTTGAACTCTAAGGTCTCAGATCCTCTATGTATCGTTGGGATTTTCCTCATCAGCACCATGTTCTTTCTTCCCTATGTAAAAAATAGTTTAACTAAAGCCCACCAATAGCCAGATGGAACTTTCCACATATCTCCCATAGCACCTTCTAAAGCCTAAACCAACATCTTAAGATGTTGATAGATTAGAAACAATCCAAGTGATAGATGGACATGAGACCAGAAAATAAAACATTTTTAAGTTATCGATATAATCATATTTCATTTTGAAAAAGGAATCATGAGTGTTGGATAATATTATCAAAGATTATTATTTTGTAGTGATTAGGTGGATTTTAAATTTTTAACAGTCACTGTTTGCTCTCATGCCAGCAAATTTAGAAAATATTTAATTACATAGCAATCTAGAATGCTTATTGAGAATTCTGAAAGTTCTTAAGGGGTATGTAGTCTAAATTTCTTTTGACCCAGATTGCCAGTTTTGTGTGATCTGTTTTCTTCAAATGTTGTTTGAAGCTGTGTAATTCACTCTGCTGAAAATTTCAATTGTTTTGGAAGTTTGCCTATGAAGTCCAATTTTTGAGTGTATTGACTGGTATCTTCATTATTGTAATCTAATTTCTAGACAACATACAATGTACAGGGTACGACAGTGTTATGAGAAAAGTTTAGGAAGGATAAAACTTATTAGATCACTAAGTAGAGCCACTTTCCCTAATCTTTGAAAGAAGCTTACTGTTCTATAATAGATAATTTTCTCTTTAACTGACACTTTATGTATATTTTTATTTATTTAGCCAGAATTTTCTAATATTATCTCTGGTACATAGGAAGTCAGTAAAACAACAACAACAAAAAAAACAATTTCTTGCCTGAATTCCGTATCCTAATTTAGAAAGATTAAGTACAAGGTTAGCTTGAGTTATCAATCATCTGCACAGTTGAAAAAAAGCGCAAAACTTTGGAAACTATTTGTGATTTGTCATTTTAAAGTTGCAATCAGCCTGTGGATTATTACTGTAGAGAATGTCCAAGAATTTGAAAAACTTTAAATATGGGTAAAAGTTGTCCTCTTTCATAATAGCCTACTGGCACTTTAAAATGAAAATGAAAATGATAACTAAGGAATCTAATCTGATTGGCTTCACCATGACTCCTGCATACACCATTGTGTATTACATTGTGCTATTTTCTATCGAGTCAGATTTTTCTTCATTATATTTCCATGTTAATATGAACAATCTACCTCCTTGGTTATATATGCTTCTTTGTTATATACCAACATTGAGACAAGTTGGTTATTGAAAACATTGTGTAATGCACTAATTAGCTGAAAGGAAGCACAGGATGGGCAGTGATGAATGAGACTGAATCAGGATTGAACACAACTGGATAATTACGATGGAAAGTAGGAACTGAAACTGAAAGATAAGAAAGAGAAATAACCAGAAGCTCTGAATTCAATGCAGACCACAGAAAGGGAGAAGTGGGCATTGAAACTTTATCCAGCCAAAAATCTAGGGGAAGAAAGATCAGTGGACTGAGTTTGAGCTTGTAGTGAGAAAGAGCCGCTAGGTCAGATGCCAGGAAGCTGCTCCTCAGCTTGACTTGGGTGGGGTGCCTGCCCAGTAACGAAGAATGACATCACTTTCCTCAAGGAGGGGCAAGAGTCAAGCCAGGAGACAGACAGTTAGCTGAGCAAAGTGGGTCATCTGTTAGAAAAAGAAGAGTCA